TCGAGTGGTGAAAGTGATACGCTACTGTAGCTATTCACCTCGTACATGGGAAGGACCATCCTTGGAGGCGACTGTACAGTTCGCCCTTGAAAAGCTCCAAAAAAGGTGAAGCTCTCAAGGACGAACATGATATGGGACAACCGGCATGTTTAAGGCACAGCAGTTTAGCGCTGATAGTACGGGCAGAGGGACCACCTCAATGGCGCACTCCTCCTCTTAATTGGCGTGGAAGAATGGCTGCACCAACGAGGAATGACCTAGTGGTTCTTTGTTTCCTGCCCAGCCATGTTATAGCGGAATATTTCTCATACTTGCTCCAAGTGTGCAGCAGCGCACATCTGGCCTTTAACTCCTGGAGAATACTGCGCACATGAAACCACTTTCCAAGACTGATTTCGTCACATTGACATGACGTGGATCTCCCAACCGACACCTACCCGTAGTCCTATGAGGTCGACTCTGCGCAGCGTCTTGTATACTTTGCACAATGTACAATATGAAATACTATAACTTTTCTGAATTTCTAACTTCAGAACAATCAGCCCATGAACTCCATCTACGGTTCTCCAATGAAGACGTATTCGAGCTCACCGGACATCCCTCACATGAATTCCTTCGAATTAGCTGAGGACGACAGTTCATCTACCACGTCGCAGAATGACGATCGACTTGGATACTTGCAGCATTCTCAGAGTGGCGGTTACTTCCAGTCAGGTGGTGGTGAATACAGCAGGCCATTTCGGCCAGCTTTCCGACCGAAAACCCCTCCACCACCACCGCCTCCACCCCAGTCGTCCTTACCACAAACCCCTAACTCACAGAGGTTAGTTGTAATTATGAAGTCTCCGTTCTTTGAGGGATACTATTTATCATATTCAGGTTACCATCGTCGCCATATGGTAGTAACCATGTGAAGCAGAACAGTTCCAATGGGTCAGCCACGACTCACATTGTGGTCCCTACTCCTAATGACTCTAATGACTCTGGTGATACTCCGTCTCCACCTCCGCTTCACCGAGAGTTCGCCTCCTTCAACGTAATGACTACATCCCTCCTCAGTCGCTACACTTCAGCGGGCACTGTAAATTAATTGGGTTGTTCAAATATTTCAGGCTCTAAGTCAAGCATTGTACCGCCTCCTCCCCCACCTCCACCTCCCAATTTACTGAAACTCCCTGCAGCATCGTCAAGCACATCCGTAGGATCTGCAAAGGCTGGTATATCGGTGGAGGCGCACTCCGTTCAGTTGCGCTGAAAAAGGCAGAGGTGAGTGAGAACCGCTTCTCTGGAACTATATTAGGGGCAGTTCTTTAGGAACTCTTATTATGGGGGGCGCGGCTTCCAGGCGAAGAACGGGGGGGAGCCTGCATTTTCGCTTGTGAATTCCTGTTGAGCTCTTGGGAACTTGGAAACAACGCTCGGTGGGCCACCGTGGCAGGGCCTATCAGTGACATGTCATGAAATGGCTGTTTAGATGGGGCGACCACGTCGGCATGGGAGTCAAAAGCACAGAATACCCCTGCCCGCCGCCAGACTGCTCCCTTTATTAGTACTTCCCAAAGCTGAAAATAATTTCTGACGTACCGGCTCCCATGTGGGAGGAGAATGTTCGTGAATCGTTTGGTATTTCAGCCTGAAGAGAAGAAAACGCAAAATACGGTTGGCATTGACAACTAGCGGATCAGCTGATTTCCAAGCCGATTTGAGGAATGCGTTGGCGAAGCGAAGAAGTAAAGTGGCCCAGGAGCAGGACGATGAGGACAAAAGCGATGTGGATGGGTGAGTGAAGGCTTAGTTTGCGAGAGAGTCCGATGAATCCCTTCGTAACCACTTTTTCCCTTAGTCGGTTTTGGCGGCTTGTCTCTTCGCGAGACAGTGGACGACGAAAACGTATCAATACGAAGGCGGGAACGTCAAGCAGCATTCACCACCGGAATAAGCAACAAAAGAAGACAGCGGGTTTGTTGAAGCGATATTTCGAACTCTCTGGGTTCAGCAATTATTTTGATGCTGACAAGTACCTATTTATTTATCAATTTTTAGATATACATCATCAAGAACCTCACTGGAGCCATCGGAATACGGTGAGGAGCGTGGTTTGGACGCAAATTCGAATCGGCCGCATTTTACCGTCGATGGTTCTTCTTCGCGACATAATGTAGCCCTCATCAGCCAGAACATTGAGGACAGCTACGGAGCCCGAAAGAACATCGATAACGTGAGTGCTTGGCTAGTTCCTCCCCTTGCCTCTCCTGACCATCGCTTGGTTTCTGGTCAATTCTCCTGCCAGACTGGCGCTGCTGTCCTTCAGTCTCTACCTCTTTCCGTTTCGGTTGCTTTGGGTTTTGCATGTGTGCTGGTCGTTTAGATGTCAGTGTCATCTACGCTGAGTACGCTGTCGGGCTGCTCCTCCGAATCTCGTCCTACTCCTTCGCTTCCGGTTGTACCTCCGGTCGACTACGACGATCCTGATTCTGGTACCGGTGGCTCTGATAGTGATATGCAAAGTAAGGCAAAATTAGAGTGCTTTCTGTGAATGTGTCTTCCCTTGCTTCGTTCGTTTCCGGACTTTATCTATGCCCTCCTTCCCTCCTCATCCCAAATTATTGATAACTCCCCTCTCTAAAATCTCCGTAGCAACCTTCGTTGTTAGTCGATGCTTTTATTTTCTAATTACAGATGCGGAAAGTGGGTCATTTGAAAGGAAAGTACTACTGAAATGGACGTGTGCTGATGCCCTTCAGTGGCTGATTTCGTTGGGTGAGTTACGAGGACAGTTAGATTCAGCACTGATTCTATCGATGTTGGGGGTAGCCTATCCGGCGGCGAATCATGACGCGGAGACACAAGTGGGGACAGGGATGCTATTTTGACCGTTTCGTGAGAGGAGCGTGATATCTATTGGTGGAAGAATTGCAACTGATGCTGTTAATGTGCGGAAATTTTGAGAAAGAATTCCTTTGAACCCTCTCCCTCCCTTCCTCCCCCTTCAGAAGTGCAGAGAGCAATAGGTGAGGAGGTAGATGAAAGTAGTCAGTGATCTTCTTCACCAGCTCAGCTGATGGATGGTGGTGGAAAATAGCTTGTGGACCAAAACAACGTTGTTCTCAGCCAAATGACGGACCGCCCGCCTCAAGCGACCAAGTGCGACCTCCTGAGTTGGGGAATCGCCAACAAACGATGCGCCCCAAGTAGCCGTCAGGGGGTGAGGATGGTTCGAGCTGCCTTCACAGCCTCACGATTCTCAAATCGCGCGATCGCAAAGTATGGCCGCAGCCTTACATTCCCTTATCGTGTGGGATTGTTATTATTGAAGGCAGCTGGCACGATGGTGTCCTGCGTTGAGCCTAACAAATTGGTAAGTAGGGCGGCTGTATAGTGCCGGCCCAACATGGCGGCAAGAAACGGAGTGGAAACGCTAAATCCTCGCGAAGAAAAAGCCTCCGTCCTCAGTGACCTTCGGACGAGTAAGTCGATTCGAACGAGAATTCTCGTAGCTTCTTACCAAGGAAGAATTACCGGAGATACGCGGCCTGCTATGTGTACCCATGTATGCATGCAGCATGCAGCTGTACTTCACTACCATCATCGCCTTGCCATTAAGTTTGCCTGAGCAACGATGAATGACTACAAGCGTAGCGAAACAGATCATGTCCATTGTGGGGGGGCGGCGGCGTGCGCGGGCGTTTGCGGACGTTAAAGTTGTGGCTTGATAGGCCCTGAAAGGGCACCTTGCTGGGAAACGCTATGCCAACGCCTTGCCCACCGTCGCCGAAATTCTGTCTGCCGGTAGTATCAATTCTAGTCGTCCTTGGGGATTTATCGCTGCCCAACTGCCCTTAAGAGTCATCATGGACGCACTGAGCCAGACGGACTTTAAACGAATTCTCATTCAATTTCAATTTCAGGGCTCGACGAGTATTTGGCCGCATTTCAAGCGCGTCGCGTCGATGGAAGAGCGCTTCTGAATTGCGATCGTGCTGCTTTCACGCAGTTGGGTGTCACTCGAATCGCTCATCGTCAGAAAATGGAGGCATCACTTCGACGGTACATGGGCAGCATGTGATGTCCTGTCGGCTCGCATTATTGCATTCATTAATGTTCGTGTTGTACATGTGTTTCTTACTGTAGACATTTTATCGCTGGACCAAGAGAAAAAGGGTTGTTGAAGAGTTCACAGGGTTGCCGTTCGGTTTTCTCGAGACTGAAAGGTTTCAATTACTAGAAGATCTATTAAAAATGTAATTTAATGCCTTTATCCTCAACGGACAACCAAACGACACCTTTGGATCGAGTATAGTGGCGCGTAGTTAATTCTCTCTTCCGCTTAATTAATTGTATCAGTAGAGAAGTCGAATTCCGCTGTGATTCCCGTGCCTGTTATCTGCTCATGCTTCATTATTTTTTCTTATTAATTTGTTCGAATTACTCGAATGATGGTTCAGATTTTTTCTTTTTTTCCGAATTTCTTTGAAAGTTCTTTAGATATTTTTCCTCATTCGCTGAACTCAGTCTTCGGTGCGCCCTTCCTTGCATATTTAGTACAAGCACAGCAGCTGTTCCTGTTCCAGTCAGATTATTCGCACATTCGTTTCTTTTGATTTGCGCTATTCGCTCGCAAACTCACGGCTTTCGCTTTACGCCTCGAGCTAAAAATGCTTATTTCATTGTCTGGGTCGCTCTCCATCTCCCTCTCTCACTCATTCACTCTTTCTCGCCGTCGTCATGTCGACCCTTTGAAAGCGTCTACGCATCTTATTTTGTGTGTTTTTAACTACTAAAGTTCTTTACGTGATCACGAGTAAATAATATGATCAATAAATAAAGTTATTACAGTCTGTTTGAAACACTGTTTCACTATTCGTATTTATCACAACTGGTTGCACATAAAACATAAGCGCAGTCCGCTGATCGTGTGGGCGGAGTCAGCCTACATTGTTCCTTCCGGTATTGTCGACTTACCTTTCCTTTTTGTATAGTGAGAGGAGTAGGCACGCCCAATGACGAAAGTAGAAATGGTTGGCTGGCTCGCGCCATTTTACCAGCACGGACTTCATTCATTAAAAGCAGTGGATACGAAGCTTGGCTGGCTAGAAGAGATATTTAGCAGGAAGAGACATTAGGTGCCTGACCGGACTATCTGTGTCGCTCAGACCTATGGGGCCCTTGCGAGTGGTCCCATTGGTACTGAGCGCCACATATAGCCCGGTTAGGCAGACCTAATGGGCCACGCCGACGGTTATCCATCCTCAAAATGGCCCTCCTCAAGCCAATGGGTTCTGTTTGTAGACCGTACCCCTGCAGCAGGAGAGAGGCAGGGCACAGCAGTAACGGAGTGCACTAATCAGTGATGAATGTTGACGGCTAACTCGTCCACAAACCGAAACGGGAAGACTTACGCTGATAATTTTTTGATTTTTGACGAATTTGTTTTTTTCCTTTCTATCAACTTCCAGTTTCATTTGAAACCGTCAGCGTACACACTGCCTTTAACAAATCATAGTGGTCGAATCCAGTGGCCATGGCGTTGTCGTTTTTTCTTCTTGAAGACAATCAGAGCGTCTTTATTCGGAAGTCTAGGTTGAAAGACTGCAGCTCGTTCGGCCTTGAAAGGTTTTTATCAGAACGGAGAAAACGTACTGATTCAGCCGAAACAGAGCACGAATGCAACGGATGCATGCAGCGACCGCACGCACGAAAAGTCCATCTACCCTCACAGTTATTATCACTGGAATCAGTACGTCGAGCCTGCAGGAGGCCACGCGGTTTTGGCGCAATAGCCGCATCCTTTCTCATCCATTTTTAGAGCTTCAGGCATTCCAGAAGGTTGAAAAGGACTGCGCCGCGCCGAAAACCACTGACAAACCTCGGCTGACTCCAGTGTTAACGACGGCAGCAGAAATCATTTGCAAACTGTCAAAAATACTTTTCGAATTACCCATCCACTTGATACTCATCCGTTTCTCATCCATTTTTACAGGTTCCTGCATTCAAGTGGTGTGAAAAGGACTGCGCCGCTCCAAAAATGACTGACAAGCCTCGTCTGACTTCTGTGATAACGACGGCGAAGAAATCATTTGACAAATGGTTAGAACGAATTTTCGGAATCACTTGTCTGTAAAAAACACTGCTGCTTTTCCCAGTGAAGGAAGCTTCTGAAATCGAAAAAAAGCTGTCATGAACAGAGGATCCAGTAGGAAAGTATGGATCCCAGAACACATAGTTTCACTTATTTTTGATAGTTTCGTACAAGAGAAATCTCAGTCAACTCTCAAAAAGTCGGCAGGTTACTTTTTAGATTTGCTCGCCAGGTTAGAGGCATTTTTTGCTGCTCCTGCGGTGGTCTGAGCTTCTTGTTCATGAATATCGTGGCCGAATTCAATAGAATTAGTGAGGCAAATGTCAGACGACGGGCTGTTGGAAGAGAGCCTGGTGTCATAGGAGTAGATGGAAGAAGCGCTTCCAGAATCACTAATCAACAATCAACAGGAGAAAATAGAGTTCGTTCATTGTCACCTTCACTGAACATCAAGCGGTAGGGACCTTGTCAGTTTCATCATAGCAATAACCTTAACTTCGCTGAAATATGGTCTGGCATCCCTGACAACCTCACATTCAAGATATATAAAAATCCTCTCGTCGGTGAAGAGAACATTGCTCCCGCCTGTTTGATGTTCATTTGGAAAGTAGGTGAGCAGACTATTTTGTCTTTTGATTCTCCTTGCCAGCCATTTTTCGATTGGGTTTCTTCCTTTTGCTCCTACCACAGCAGGCTTTCATTTAACAGTCCGCCATCTTATAGTTGCCTCAAGAATAGTACTGAATTTGACTGCAATATCAATGCAAGCGGTGCTGATATCGCTTCTGGAGCTGCTTGAAGCAATTTTGTTACCCTCCCGCTCCCTGTCAAGAGGCCGGAGGTTCTTCTTTAGCGAAATCTGTAGGCTGGTCGCGCAGTTTGCATGTGCAGATGATATCGCGGCATGCAGACGGGGCGGTTCCAAGTGAAGTGGAACGAGCCCACACGCGGCGAGTCCACCACTGGTTGTTCTTCTTTTCAAAACCAATTTCGGGGCTTTTCAGACATAGAGAGATAGGATCAGACCAGTAGCTTAAAAGTGTCATCGAAGATTTTTCCACATCTTCATCAATTCGTCCTGATTCATGACTGCGGTGCGGTGTAGATGACTCTGTTAGTTTCGCCGCTATTCTGTCCACGTTTTTTATTCCTCAATGTAAATACACATAAATCACCCACTTCGAAAGGTTTCCTTGGCGTTGCAGTTCGACCCGGTCCCAAAGTAAACATAACTGGCGGCAGGGTCGTTGATCGAACCTATAAAAAATTGTTATGGCAATGACAAATCCGAAATCATAGCCCCACCTGAGTTCCGAGATTGTGGACCTGTACAAGACGGAGAAATGGGAGCAGAAAATCATGGGAAGCCAAACGCTTTCAAGAATTGTACACTCACCTCCGAGGAACCTTGCCATGGCGAGGTGAAGGTCAACAGCTGCAGTATGGTACTACTTTCCGCTCAAAAGTAGACGGGAAAGGGGGTTATCGTGCGGCAAGTGGCGCCTCTAAATGCGGATAACTTTTCTGCCCCTTCGCGAACGGCACCACCACCATGCGTAACAAGCCTAAGTGTCCTGTGGCTCTCACGAATCCGGTTGCCCCGGTAGGAGCTAAACTCACGTCTGCCACGCACGCGGCGCATGTCGAGAAGTCCATGCGTTGGTGTGGCCGAGCAGCCAGGGATAGCGACACCTTCGTTGCTGGAGGAACCTCCAATAGGGGGGTCGTATTTGGCCGCTAGGAGAGGTGGGGGGGTCGTATTTGGGCCGGGAAAAATTTATTTTGATAGTTGATTTTTCTCGCTTCACGGACGTTGCAAAAGAAAAAGCGGGGGGGGCGTACTTGTTCATGTGTTGGAGGGGGGGGGGGTCGTACTCAACGTCTTGCGTCCTGTAGCAGCAGTGGTTGACTTTTTTTGTGGTTTTTCCTATTTCACGCTGTACTATTATTCCTCCTCCGCACGTCAACATAAATTTTTGCAAAGGGAACTTTCGGTAAATTTGAGTGGTCAGGAAGTTGGAGGAAATCGAAACTGGTAGAGCGGAGCCGGGGAGGGGGTCGTTTATCCTTGCGGCGCGGCTTTTTCTGCCATCACATGTGCTATTTACGCTATTAACCCCCCCCCCCCCTAGCTTGCGACTGCTCGATCCGGATGAGGACGGACAGGAGGGCCCGGAGGTGTGGGTCGTACCAACACCCCTAAAAAAAGGGGGGGGGGTGTAGAGACTCGACTAAAATTCCCCAACAATGATGTCCGCTTGAGCAGGGATACTGACAGGGCTGTCTGACAGCGGTGGCTGCTGGTGTATTGATGGATCAGTCCTTGTCAGACATGTCCCTACTAGTGGAATCCGCCCAACCCATTACTGATGAACTTTGAGTGGAGACCTAGGTAGATCGATAGAGTCTATAAGGTTAATTACAAATATAAATCGCAAAACTGCAACCTGATTTCATAAGCAGCTTATTGAAGAGGTGAATTTTAGTATGGGATGCCAGTAGTGGTGTTGGAGGTTGGTGATTGAGACTGTGAAGTATATGCGAGGAATCGCGAATGCGCCGAAATTGCGTCGCACGAACGCTGCACACGTTACCACTGAACCACCCTTCGCTTATGCTTCACAGCTCACCACCAAGCCTCCACCCTACTGCACCATTACAAACTTTACCTGCTCATAAGTTGCTTGTGAAATGCAGGTTGCAGTTTTGCTATCTATTTGTAAATAACCTTATGGACTCCTATCGATCTGGCGCCAGCGCTCCGTTCAAAGTCCCAAGCACGGTAACGTTTCGGCAGAAGTTCGCCTGGTTAGGTCTGTAGACGATGGAAGCGCACAGTGGTAAGTACAATCTTGGTGGTCACAGTGAACAAGATCTTCTACAAAAATGTCCTTTTATTCTCACAAATGGGATTTAGCATCTGCATTATCTTTCTAAGTGCTCCCATGATAATACGCAGTCAATCATCCCGTTAGTACCAGAAAGTT